TCTATTTTTCATTTATTCTTTGAAAGGTGTAATGTATTTATCTATTTAAGGAGTACGTATGTAAACTAATTATCATTCCTGTTCAGACAACCTCCCTTAACGATCCATTTATCACTTTGGTTGTTTGTTTATTACCTTTCCTTTTTCCTTTTTCACTTCTTTTTATATTTTCTCCATTTTCCCTCCCCCTGGGAACCTGGGCCTGGATTATCTCATCCATCTTCCGGATTACTGACAGCCTTGTGACTAATCCCAACCGATCCTGCTCTTACAGATACACCCACGGATTCGTTCTCTTTTTTATTGGTTTTTCTTTATTTTCCCTTTGGCTTTCATTCAGTTTCATTTTTGCCTTTCCTTATCTCTGTCTCTGATGCCCTGACACTTCTCTTCCTGCCTCTTTTCATGCTTCTGGACCTCAGGTGCCCAGAGTGAGATGAAGAAACTCCCCTGGGCAGCTCCTGCCTGGCTGTGCCAGCCATTTCCATTTCTAATTCAGTCGTTCATGTGTCCATTCATTCTTTCTGTCATTCTTTCATTTCAATATTAATTCTTTTATTTATGGACCTCAGGTGCACAGAACTGGATTAACCATAATCTGTGGCTCCCAGAGCCTCTGCACAGCGGTCCATGTGGAGTTGTCTTTTGTTCACTGATTCTTCTCCATGGGGATTTGGTGCAGGATTTATTTAACTAGCTCAGGAACCCAGTTTTGAATTGCTCGTAATTCTCACGGCCTTCTCTCCTCTTTTTGTCCTTGCACTGTCCTCTCTCGCACACTTATGTCTTTATTTATTCATCCAATGCCTTTGTATTGCTTATAAACATCTATACGTTTCCATATTCTCTCCCCTCTCACTTTCTCTTTTCAATCTTTTGGGCCTTGAGTGCAAAGGATAGTGAAAATCGTCCATTCTCATTCATTCAGCCAGACACTCCTCTATTCACGTATTTGTGTTTTTATTGATGAACCTTAATGTTTACTATTTAGTATATTTAATGGATAAAATTGGCTCATTCTATTTCAGTACCTACCCAGGAAGTACCTTTTCTTACATAGGTCTATTTCACTTTCTTTTCTTATATCTATCCCTCTCTGGTTCTTTCAATTTTTCCATTCCTCACTGCTTTCTTGCATTCCTATGGAACGCATGTATTAATTCTGTCTCTTTTTCTGAGACAGAGTTTCGCTCTTGTCACCCAGGCTGGAGCACAATGGCGCAGTCTCAGCTCACCGCAACCTCCGCCTCCCGGTTCAAATGATTCTCCTTCCTCAGCCTCCCGAGTAGCTGGGATTCCAGGCCTGAGCCACCACGCCCAGCTAATTTTGTATTTTTAATAGAAATGGGGTTTCACCATGTTGGTGAGGCTAGTCTCAAACTCCTAACCTCGGGTGATTCACCTGTCTCGGCCTCTTAAAGTGCTGGGAGGACAGGTGTGAGCCACCGCGCCCGGCTGCATTGACTCATTCAGTCTTTCACTTGTAATTGTTAAAACAAACTTCACAGCCACAGATGTGAGTTAATGTGAACGGCTTGTGCTGCACCCGCCCCCTTTCATCCCCTTGTTAGATCTACTTATCATCTTTTTCACTTCCTTTTTCCCATTTTTATTTTTCCCATGCTATTGTTTCTTTCCACCACTCGCTCTTTCTTTCTGTCATTCTTTTGGAGCTCTGCACCAGGATCAATGACCCTCACCCCCTCTCTACAACACCCTCCTCACCGCTCAACGCAAATCCTTTCTGTCATTCATTCATTCATGCATTCACCACGCATCCATTCAGTCTTTCTGTGTCAACACTCCTTTTTACACTTCTAGACAGCAGGTGCACCTAACTGGATACTCCACAATCTGCAGCTAACGGAGCCTCCCCCGTGGCCCCACGGAAGCCCTTCCTTCCATGTTTACACTCTGAGCCGTCCCTTAGTTGGGTAGGTGGTTGGCCATGTCGGCAGCACCGACACGAATTAAGCAGCCTGCTTGGCTCACACAGCTTCTCATTCCTGTTCCTAGCATGGCTCTGTCTCGTAACTGCATGCATCTATTTATTTCTTAATATATTACTTTCTTCCTTTTTATACATTTCTTCCCATTTGTTATTGCTTTTCTCTCTCTCTCTCATGCGTCCTCGCTTGCTCTCTGTCTTCGGAGCTCAGTGCCAGGCAGGGCTGTGTGCATCATACATCCTGCAAGCGCCCATCCTCGGCCCGTGCGGCTCCACGTCTCATGTGTTTCTTCCTTCCTTCGCTCATAGTATCCTTCCTTCCTGCTCCCTCTTTTTATTAGGCATTTATTCCTCAGGTGCTGTGATTCCACTAATGGAGTAATAAATGCCTAATACTTACGACAAGTCCTAGCTTAACTCCCCTCGTGGGTCTACCCATGTATCTGTTTGGTTATTTCTTTTTACACTTCCTTTCTATCATAGCTTTCCATACCTCCTGTCCTTCACTCTCATGCAGCTGGGGTGCCCAGAGGGGACCCCAACACCCCCATCAGGAGGACCCGCAGGGCCACATCTTCTCATTCACCTCGTCCTTTTCTGTTTAGATACTCACTGACTTGTTCTAGATGTTTATTATTTAATGGCTAGACTGGTTTTCTGGAAGTGGACCAGCCATAGCCCTTAATTTGTGATGGCCTTTTGCCACCACCTGTCCCATTGCCTTCTTTTACATCTTTATCAATAAATTAATATTTCATAAAAAATTAAATAATATTTCTGTACTTAACATTTGTTACATTTTTTCCTTATTTCTTTATTTATCAAGATTTTATTTTATTTTTTATTTCATCTAACAGACCTCAGTGTCCAGGACTGGATGACTCAAAGCCCCCCATGCCACCCTGTCACCTGGCCCTGCAGCCCCACACTGCTTGTTCATGCATTCATCCACACATGCAGCATACACGTCTTGGCCCTTCTTCCCTTTGTCATTTACTTATTTATGTGCAGACTTCAGGTGCGCAGACTTAGATAACTTTTGGTAAAAAGGCACTCTTGCCTTTGGCCCACTGGGTCCCCTTTCTGTCTTTGGACTCTTTCTCTGTGGTTTCTTCATTTTTCTATGCCAGGAGCATATGTTATTTGTCTGAGCCCTAATGCATGCCTTACAATAGCCTGACGTGGTTCTCCTTATACAGTCACTCATCCTCTACGTTGTTTTTTTACTTTTCTATCTTTTATTTGTTGTTTTGGGCTTTTTTTTAAACCTTTCCCTTCTCCCTTTTGATCACTCCTCCCCTGACTTGCATCTTTTCATCTTGACGGGCCTCAAAATTGATTCTGCATTCCACTTCCCACACGTCCGTTCTTTCTTTTATTTAAGTATGTATTTATTTATTTATTTTTGAGACAGAGTTTTGCTCTATTGCCCAGGCTGGAGTGCAGTGGCACGATCTTGGCTCACTGCAACCTCCGCCTCCCAGGTCCAAGTGATTCTCTTGCCTCAGCCTCCCGAGTAGCTGAGATTATAGGCATGTGTAACCACGCTCGGCTAATTTTGGTATTTCTAGGAGAGACGGGGTTTTTCCATGTTGGTCAGGTTAGTCTCAAACTCCTGACCTATGGTGATCCACCTGCCTCAGCTTCCCAAAGTGCTGGGATCACCTAAATTTTTTTTAAATTCTTTTTAATTTGACAATTAAAAAGAACATAAATAAGGCTGGCGTGAGCCACGAAGCCCAGCCTTATTTAGGTTCTTTTTAATTGTCAAATGTCAGAGGCATATATTTGAATTACACATATTCCTTAGTCCTTAATGACCTGGTATCACTTTGTATGTTTCCCTATCACTTCGTGATTCAGCAGGTCTTTTCTATTTATGCACTGATTGCCTAGGCATCAAAGCAGATGGTGCACACGCACTCTGCCTCCTGGCTTGCTTACTTTCTTTACCTATTTACTTGTTTATTCATTCTCTCTTGCTTCATTCATGCATTCATCCCCTCATTTATCACATGATACAATAGATACCAGTGAAACAACCTCTCAGCAACGACATTCACAGTATCTTTAGCATTCCTGCTTCTTCTGAGTCACCGCCAAGGTACACACAGCGCGCAGTCCAGAACACACACAAATGGCTGATGCAGGCAGAGACCCAGTGAATGGTAGGTTTACTCCCAGACCCTTCTGGGGCTCACGTCCTAGACATGCTGGTGGCAGATCTGAGATGAGGGCCCACGTTCCCCAGCCCCCCCGGGCAGAGCAAGCGCCTCCCACTCTGCCCCTCTGCGCCGTGGTGAATGACCATCCCCATGAGAAACCTGCTTCAAGACCCCGGAATACATAGAGACACACACATGGTACAGAGTCTCCTGGTGGGAAACGACGGACACGGAGTTCATTTTTAAATAGGTGGCTTTGTCTGTCGCAATATAAAAATATTTTGGCCTTTCAAGGCAAATACAAAAGAAACTACCCATTACCATGGCTGAGTGTCTCAGTCCCAAACAATAAGAACTTGAAGAGGTTTAGCCGGAAACTTTGAAGACAGAAAATCTGCCCATTATGTTTTCCAGACATTTCGAGGGGGTGAGTGAAGGTCATTGGAGCTCGAAGCCCATTTGGAAGGCTGCTCCCCCGGCCTGCGTTTTCTCCTTGGCCCTTTGAAGGGCCCCCAGCTCACAGGGCACTTCCATCCTAGTCTGCCCTGCAGCACAAGAGCCAAAGGGAGACTCAATCATGAAAGGACCATTCATTTAGAAGAGTGAAAAAGAAGAATTTCTTTTGGGGTCCGACATTTGAAGCCGCCTATAGAATTCTTTTGCCACAGAGACAACACAAGGAGGCTGGGGGCTCCCGTCTTAGAGAACAGGAGCCCCCAGGTCTGCACTCAGCTGGACTCAATGGGTACCCATTTCCCCGTGCACAGACCCCCCAGCCAGTACCCGCCAGCCCCTCCACGAGGTCCACCTGGCAGTGTGCTCCGGGAGGCAGGCCCCACCCTCGACAGCAAGGCCACGCATGTGCTGTTTATACTCCAGCCACTTACGATTTCAAGCTGGAGGGGGCTGGGGTCCCACATTCGAGGTCCCTTCCCACGCAGGAATCCAGGATGGCGTCGGCTGGAAGGAGAAGACACTAGGTCACTGACTGGAACCTCACTCAGGCTGGCAAGGAGGAGCAGGAGGGCGGATAAGGACAACAGCTCTCAGGGGTCAGGGGTGGCCTGGGGCAGTGACTGCCCAACCACCAGCAAGCATGGCATCGGGAAGCCATGTGTTTCTCTTGTCACTCCCCTCACCCACCAGCTGCCCATGCAGCAGAAAGGACAGGTGTGGAGACATGGAACAGACTTGGCTTGGTGCTGTCCACAGAGCGAAGTCCTGCTCTGTGGGACCCAAAGGGTTAGGGGACTGCGTAGATGAGAAGGGGGGGGTGGCCCAGGCCCTGCAAGCCGCTCCCCTTGAGGACAGGGCATGAGCCTGTGCTCTGAGAGAAGCCAGGTGCCCAGGTCGGTGAACAAGACGGCTGCTTCTGGAGGAGACCAGAGAAGTGGTGTGTGGCTGGAGGGCAGCCCACGGTGGGCTGCTGGGATACTACGGGGCAGCGTTTCCCAAAACCATGGCTCACACGCATGCCTGGATAGACAACTCCACTGCGGCAATTCTGTTCACATGGCAGCAGGCCCTGGGGAGCACCGCGAGTCTTCGGTGGCAGGATTTGCCTTACATTTTCACTCGTGTTTTTTTTTTGTTTTTTTTTTTTTCCTGTTTTAATCGGGCAGCAGGCTGGTCCAAAGGTGGTTCAAATGCTCCGAAGATTTTAAGCTTTGAAAAAAGGTGACTTCAGGGGAACATCACACACCAGGGCCTATCAGCAGATAGGGACTGGGGGAGGGATAGCATTAGGAGAAATACCTAAAGCAGATGATGGGGTGATGGACGCAGCAAACCACCATGGCACGTGTACATCTATGTAATAAACCTGCATGATCTGCACATGTACCCCAGAACTTAAAGTACGATAATAAAAGGAAAAAGAGTGACTTCAGCAATGTCAGACACGTATCATGACTCATTTGTCAAGACCCACAGGATGTGGCCACAGAGAGGGAGCCCTAATGATGTGAACCAAGGCCTTTGGTTAATCATGTATCGGAGTCGCTCCATCGATTGGAACAGAGCACGTCACTCGGAGGCAGCATGTGAATGAGAGGGGACACGGTGGGGACAGGGTCTGGGAATTCTCTATACTTTCCCACCAGTGTTTCTGTAAACTGAAAACTATACAGAAAAATAAACAGTTTATTCATTTTAAAAATGTGTTGAATCAATGGCTTTTAAAATCTGCTCACAGAGTCTACTTAAAGTGAGGCGGTATCACAGAAAGGTGACCTGTGACAGCCAAGGTCCCACCAGCATGGCAAGATGGGTGATGGGGCAGCCAGGGGCACAAGGCAAGGCTAAGGTCTTCAGGTACCCTCTCTGGGGACAGTTTCCTGGATTAGAAACAGGAGGAGGTAGGAAGCCAGGGGAGACCATGGGACACCCCCGCAAAGCCACCCAGGAAACAGAGAGGCCATGAGAGGGATCCGGGGGCACTGGGGGAAGCAGAAGCCACAAACCACAGGTCCCAGCACTCTGGGAGGCTGAGGCAGGCGGATCACCTGAGGTCAGGAGTTCAAAACCAGCCTGGTCAACATGGTGAAACCCCGTCTCTACTAAAAATACGAAAGTTAGCTGGGTGTGGTGGCTCACACCTGTACTCCCAGCCACTCAGGAGGCTGAGACAGGAGAATCGCTTGAACCTGGGAGGCAGAGGTTGTAGTGAGTTGAGACTGTGCCACTGTACTCCAGCCTGGGCAACAGAGTGAGACTCATCTCNCATGGTGAAACCCCATCTCTACTAAAAATCCAAAATTAGCTGGGCATGGAGGAACACTTTTGTAATCCCAATTACTCAGGAGGCTGAGCCAGGAGAATCGCTTGAACCTGGGAGGCGGAGGTTGCAGTGAGCCAAGATTGTGCCACCACACTCCAGCCTGGGCAACAGAGTGAGAGTCTGTCTGGGAAAAAAAAAAAAAAAAATAATCCCAGCTACTCAGGAGGCTGAGGTAGGAGAATTGCTTGAACCTGGGAGGTGAAGGTTGCAGTGAGCCGAGATCGCGCCATTGCACTCCAGCCTGGGCAAAAAAAAAAAAAAAAAAAAAAAACAGGTCCCGGGAGACCAGCTGCCTGCCCCTCTGTGGGTCTTTGAGGGACTCCCAAAGCTGCCTGTCCCCAGGCCTCTCAGGGGTCTCTCCAACCCACCCCTGCTGCCTCTGCGTCTCTGTTCCCAGTCAGTCTGTAGCCAGGAGGTCCCAGGCCCGGCCAGGACACAGGAGATACTTCTTGCCTCCAGTCCCTCCCGAGAACCCCATCCCCAGCCTTGCCTCCATAAACACTGGTTATAATGATAACCAAAAAACAACAAGTCTTAAAATAAGCGTTAGTGACGCAGTGATCAGTGCACAGGCGCCTGAGCGGCAGACTTCAGTGACCTAAAGGCTGCCAGACCACCTATTATGTACTGACCACCACCCAAGACCGTTTCCCACCCTCCCTCTGAGACTGTGCATGGCTGGGGTGGCCTCTCACTATCGCCACGTCCGAACGTGGCACCGAGACTCCAGACCAAGAGCACACAGCGAGACCAAAGGCACTGCCATTTCCCGCAGGACTCGGAGCCGGGCGCCTTGGTTTGCTGCTTTTGTTTCACCCTTTTTTTGTGTCTTTCACAGGAGCAGGGAAATCAGAAGCAGGAAGGAGCATCTGGGTTTTTTTCCTGCTTCTGCTCCAGGGACCCCATGAACCCTCAGAGCCCCTGACTGTCCTTAATGAACTCTGTGTACAGACCCCAGGCTGCTCTGCTACAGTGAAGCCCCGGCCAATTCGTGCTTTGGTTTAAAAAGCTGCGTGTGCCCGCTCTAAGCTTGCGTGATGTGTTAATAACGCGGGGCTGGGCTGGAATCTTAACAAATGTCGGAAAAGCCGCACAGATGAGTCACTGTCTGAAACCAAAGGAAAACACGAGGCCTCTTTCTAGAGTCCAGAGGAGTAACTGCTACAAGCACTTGATCGAAGACCTCCTAAGTGCGTGCGGTGCGCTCACGCCCCACGCAGAAAGTGTTGGCGAACATAGCAAAAACACCCACCGCAGCTTAACACGATGAGAAAACTCTCGCTCTGCATCTGACAATTTTAAAAGTTACTCTTTTCTGGAGACAAACAGCACTTAATTGATCTGGCATGTCTTCGGTATAAATAACTTACGGCTGTTTCAAACAGCAAAGGACCTAAAAGGATGATTTTTATTAAAATGTTGATCTCAAGAAATAGAGCCTGTCGTTACACAAATAGTCAGCCTTGCTCAGATCTCGTACTTCCTACCTGTTGAGTAAATACCACCCTCTTTAAACTTCCCCTGACAAATGCAAGCTCTTTGCAGAGCTAATTTCCTGTACCTTTGTGAGGCCGGGGCCCTGGACATTATGGACCCATTTATGAAAATGGGAGAGGTAATTGGGACATCTTTTGAAATCATGTCCCCTTCTCTTTCGAAGGCCCCCATCAGCCTTCTAATTTTACTTGGTCAGGTTACAGAGGATGTTTACATATGCCTCTTCCTGGAATTTCACCTCTTCTGCTTCAGGAGTGGGCAATTAGAGAGAATTAGGGCCTGTTTGGTGCCTGTTTACCGTTAATGGATGGAGCAGCGGAGGCAGCCTTGGGAAAGCAGTCTGCCCGTCTAATTGAAGCAGGCAATTTTTCGATTCCTCATTTCAGCTCGCAGGTATTGTAACAGCCAAGGTCACAAAACAAAAGCTGAGCCCATCACGGTAACAGCCGGGCGCAGGCCCGACCAGAGGTTTTGTGAGCTGCTATAACCGCACGCTGCAGCACAAAGAGAGAGCTGGAAATGTTTGCAGAGCTGAATGGAAGACGGGCAGCCGGTGCAGCCCAGTGACTAATGACTTTTCCAGAAGTTGCCATCCTGCTGGCTTTTTCAGGAAGTTCTCAGCTGACCAGGCCACAGGGCCAACAGAGGTGTTGGCGAGGATCTCAGGGCCCAAAAGGCACAGGGTGAACCACAGGGTGGGGGACGAACATGTCCTGGTTCTGAAGCTACAAGGCCAGTCTCATTACGCAAGAGTCACTCTACAGCCCAAAAAGGTGTTCCGGACCAGCCTGGTAGCCCGCCTGTTTGGAATAAATGCCCTGTAAAACATGGTCACTGCATCCTAACTCGAGGGGCAGCCCCTGGGAACTTTCTTCCAGCAAGAGCTCTGACCTCACTAATGACCTCAGTGACCATGACCCCCTGACCACACAGGTCATGCAGGAGCTAGCAACTGGCAGGGGCCTCACCTCCAGAGTCTGCTGCCAGCTCAGTGTGCGACCGTGGGCGAGGTTCCAGGCCTCTGAGATGTCTGGCTTCCCACCTCTAAAGCAGAGGGGGCAGTGGACCAGTGACCCCCAAAGTCCCAACAACTCCAAAGACCCAGCAAATGAACCACAGATGACCTCCAGGGAGGCCTGAAGAAACCCTAAGACTTGTGGGGCTGCCAAGGCCACTTGGACCACTATGGGACTGAGGCCTAGGGGCTGGAGACAGGGGCCAAGGTCACACTCATAGTCAGGGCTGAGCCAGGCTGTAACCATGTCTCTGGAAGACTGCTCCTGAGTTGCTGGAGAAAGCTAAGAACTCTCTCCTCTGTCTACCTGACAAGTCCCAAGTAGCGATAGTGTGACCAGCCAGGAGAAGAGTGGACACCCAGTCTGGACATTGGGGGACCTCCGTTCCCTCCTGAAACAGCACTGACCTCCCAGGCTCCTTCTGACTTGGATTATATGCAGAACTGACAGGCTAGTACACAGTCTTACAAACGAGGCTGGAAGCCAGCACCAGCAAAGTCAGTGATGGGCCAAGACCGACCTGGGCCCCCCTCCTGTCACGGTAGGGACTTTGCCCCAGTCCCTCTGGAGTGGCCCCACCCTTACGGCAGTCTGGGGCAGTCGTGATGCAAACAGCTTTCTCTAACCAAAGGGTCCCCTCTCTCGCAGCTGCACACCAACACTGCAGGCCATGAGACCCCCTCCTCTCCTCCCTAACCGTGAAACAACAGCCCTGTGGATTTCTAAACCCCTACCCCCAAAGGGAATCACTCTCTGTGCAGTCCCAACAGGGCCCAGGGAAAAGGCTGGAGCGGCAGATGGAGCAGTGAGGGGGCCGGCGCAGCCTTGCGGTGAGCCTTTGGCCCCCCACTGTCCTCCCCCAGCTTTCCATCCTGGACCTCTGTCTCCTCGGCCCCATTCTGTCTCTTTGGCTATATTTCAGGCAACAGGCCCAGGCTGATCAAATTTTTGTTTACAGGCACAGCCACACTGATTCCCCTTTGCTAAGAAACCTTCGACAATCAAGCCCGAGAATCTGAGAGCGTGAGCATCCCAGGGTCGCGTGAACCCGGTGGCTGGTTAAGTGCGTCATTGTGCAGCCTTGGAGCTCCCGACACACACACACAAGGGCAGGGGCCCCACGCAACCCCTGGGAGGAACACACACACTCGGTTTCTGGGGAAGGTAATTGACGTTTTCTTCTTTTCTTCTGAAGAAAAGGCACCTTCCATTGAAAGGGCGCATTCACAGAACCTGGGAAAACTCATCTGCGCTCAGCCCTCCCAATTATCCCCAGGTGGCTGTTCCCCACGGGGGGCTCCCCCACATTCCTCTCCGCCGAGCCTTTGTTTCCATCTGAAACGGCCCTGGGAGCTCCCAGGCTAAGAGTCTCCTCCTTAAGCCCCTGCCAAAGACCCTATTCACTGCCGAGAGCGGAGGGCAGCCGAAGGTGGTGGGCAGACTTCCTTTCTCCCAGGGTAGGGGACTTAAGAACTCTCCATCTGGATTTATTTTTAAGCCCAAAGAAATTGGAGAGCAATTAAGAAAGTCATGGCTACACCCTCCGCCACCGTCCTCTCCCGCAATGAACTCCTCTGTCACACATAGCCCCTCACGTTGGGAGGCCCACGGCGGCCCTGTGACCCAGCACCTGCTCTGTATACGGGCAGCCCACGATCGCCAAGGGCTCGGGGGTGACGGGAGCTGAGAGGACAGACAGAGATATGTCCCGAGTCCTTGTCACAGTTTGTCCTGAGTACAGTGACCACAGTGTTCTATGGTGAGGATGGCAGCCCGGGCCCTGGCCTCAGGACCTGACTCAAACCCTGAAGGCCCCAGGAATTCCAGCTCTATGAGCACCTCAAAAGTGGGCCTCTCAGATAAGGGGACCCTCCATGACCACTGGATCCAGCTGGTGTTGGGACCTCTCTCCTGGCAGGGCTCCTGGGAGGGGATGCAGTAGGCGAGGGGCCACGCACTCCCCACCAGTGCCAAGGGCCCCCCGCACTCCCAACTTTCCTGGCTCTGAAACACTGACCCGATCCGTGCCAAGGAGGCAAGCCTATTCTGTGGCTCCATTTCCTTAGACGCCCCCAAGAGCCTGTGGGCAGCCCAGGCATGGACGCCTTGTCTGAATGGGGCGCCATAACCACAGCCTCTCCGCCCCTAGAGTCATCCTTCTCCTTGCCAGTCCGGGAACCCCACATTTGAGAGGCCTCATTTCGAAAGGTACAACTCTTTTCTAGACTTTTCCGTCTGCTCAAATCGGGCATAGGAGACCAGGCTAGACTTCCTTATTCCTCCTTTGGGAGACGGACAGGGCTCAGAGATGCATCAGGGAGGGGGAAGCAGTCCTTGGGACAATTCACAACTCATTAATTCCAGTCTCCTAAAAAGCAGCCGCCCCCAGTGACCCACGGCTTTTCCACTGCGCTCACAATGCCCCCTGCCCTTTAACCCTTTGGGACCTGAATCTGTCTCCCTGCACACCCCCTTCTGTAGAAACCTCTCTTCCTCCTTGCAAGGAAAAATTCATTAGCAAGCTCATTAAAGACGGGTAGATTTTCTTTTCCATTCTTTCTGGAAGTCAGATTGCTCATAAAAAAACGCATTTACGTTATTTCATGTAAATGAATGAATAAGAAGCCCATGCATCCTGTTGCCCCTAAGTCTTGCCGAGTTTTGACATTATTTGGAGAAATGTACTTGGAAAGACATTTGGGGTTTGAATCACAACTCAGGAGGCAGGAGGTCAGGAGTCCTGCAGACAGCCATGAGCAACTCGCAGGTGAGAGAAGGTGGGGGCGAGGGAGCGAATGAGGGGCCTTTCCACGAGCTCAGGCCTGAGCTAGCCTTTGGTTAGAGGGTAGCAGGTGGAAGAGGAGAGGCAGTTTCCAGACCGGACCACCATCTTCACCCTGACACTTGCACCACCCAGAAGAGTCCCACTAGAGACGGCCCCCCAGGAGCCACTTAACATTATGACAAATGCCCAGACATCCCTCACTGCCCTCCACCGACGTGACAGGACCCTCTGTGGCTCACTGCCTGCTCAGTCGGGGTCTCTTCTCCACCCTCTATTGCTCAGGCATTGGCCAATCCATCAAAATAGATGGCCAGGTGCAGTGGCTCATGCCTGTAATCCCAGCACTTTGGGAGGCCGAGGTGGGTGGATCACAAGGTCAGGAGTTCGAGACCAGCCTGGCCGATATGGTGAAACCCCATCTCTACTAAAAATACAAATATAGCTGGGTGTGGTGGCGGGCACCTGTAGTCCCAGCTACTGGGGAGCCTGAGGCAGGAGAATCACTTGAACACAGGAGGCCGAGGTTGCAGTGAGCTGAGATCATGCCATTGCACTCCAGCCGAGGCAACAGAGCGAGACTCCCTCTCAAAAATAAAAAAATATAAATAAATAAAATAGAATGTTCCTGAAAATGATCACGTCTCTCAACACTTAATAGCCTTTCGGCAGTTCCCGAGAGGCTGGTTGGCAAGGCTGATGAACTGTGTCACGTTTCAACTTCTTTAGTTGAGAATGTGATATATTTTTACCTTTTTCTACTTCATGACACACAAAACCCCAAATACGTGTTTCCTGAGACTGAACACTCATGAGCACCTGAAATAGAACTCGGTGCAAAGACGGTTCCCTTTCAGCTCCTGAGAGCCGGGGGCTGGCAAAGTGTGGTCCTGCCTGGGCCTCGCCTGTTTGTCCCAGCCTTTGCTCTGACTCTGCCCCTGGGCTTCGTCCTCCTTGGGAAAGTCCTCAGGTGTCCTTGAGAAATGAGTTCAGGAGCCGAGGGGATCCGGCTCAGACCAGCTACGTAAATGCATTCTCGGAAGCCTGGGACACATCCCCCAGGAGCCCGGCATCCTGCCCTGCGCAAAGCTCCCCTCCCAGGCCTCTTCTCCACATCACTGTGTTTGCAGGTGGCTCAGCAAATGCTAGCCTTGGAGTAAATGTCACAGGGCAGAGTGTTCCTGGGCCCCTCCCTGGGTTTAGCCCTGGGCACACACTGCCCCCGTCTCTCCAGGCTGAGGGGCTCTCCAGAGAGCAGAAGCAAGCAGACAAAGGCAACAGCCCAGGTCAGCGCGCCTCTGCCCCCTCTGCCTCCGCTGCCAGATTTGTTTAAAAATAATATCCCCATCCTATTTCAATTTCAGGGGAGAAGGGCAGGGCTGCAGAAGAGCTGTCTCCAAATCCTCTGTTTGATTAAAGAGCATTACGGAGGCTGCGTTGGAAACCGCAGACTCTGCGGGGTGGGTGTGGGGGCCTGCACCCAGGCTGCTGCGTTCGGAGGGCTGCAGGCTGGGCACGGCCCAGCGCGTGGCTCTGCTCCTCCACCCCTCTCAGGGACCCCCTGCGTGGGTGTCCGGGGGGAGTATGGGCATCTGGGTCAAGGACAGTGCTAACGCTCACTCAAGGCTCCATAAATGTCGGGGGACACTGAGCCAGCCTCGCCCCATGGTTCAGACCTTTCTCGGTGCCCACCCAGGGCCCCTGGGAAGCCTCACTGTACTCATTCACACCAGTGACCACCCCAGGGGCGTCAGATATAACGGATATCGTGAGGCTGACACTGCCCCCCAGGGCAGCTGGCTCTAAAAACACCCCATCACCCTGAGTGAGCCATGGGCTCAGTCTCTGGGACCCCAGAAAGGAAAAGTGCCCACTGCTGGGCCTCCTCTCTTCCTGCCGGCCCAGGCTTCACCCTGGCGTGGCCATCCAACATGCAACCCTGAGCCCCTGCCCCCCATGCCACTTTGCTTGGCTGCCGTGCAAGCCACCTCGCTGCATGGCGGCTCCCAGGGCACCCAACTAGACACCGCTGGTCCTCAGTGCAAAGACCAGCCTCAGGCACCCCAAACAAGCCCGAGCCCACGCCCCAGCCGGCTCCCAGGTGCATCTTGAATGAGTAAACCCACAAATAAACACGTGAGTGTGCGAGTGAATTGTGTGGCTTCGATCCCCTGCTCCCTTCCTTTCTACCATTGCTGATTTCATTTAAACAAACAAAAACATTACAATCTCATTGCAATTTCAGGGGTGAGGAAAGGAGGCCAAGAGAAGACCTTGCTGGAAAGCCACTATTTCATTAAAGGACATTATCAAAGCCTCATGTGTGAGAAACCACGATTCTCACAGGGCTGGTGGGAAGAAACGTCTTCCCAGCTGAGGAGCAGTGAGCATTCCCACTTCCTCCTGTGTGAACGGGTCTGTGGGCCGGGAGTGGGCCCTGCATCCCGTGTGCCAGTGTGTCCAGCAAAGTACTGAGGGCTCCTGTGTGCCGGCCCCAGCTGTTCTCGGGGGTCTGCCATGGAGACGGACATGTCCCACTTACTGTCGCTGGCCCACAGTGTGCCATCGGCCAGGGTGGACCCCCACATGTGCTGGCGGGGGTTAGCAAGGCTCTCCACTCCAGGCAGACGTCAGGCCCCCAGACCTCCGAGGCTATGTGGAAAAGATTCACCTTGGTAGTTTGCCCCCTCCCCAGATTAAATGTTGACATTCTTGAACAGAGAGGAGAGACATGAGCTGACCCTAATAAAATTCTGGTGTCTCAAGAGAGCAAGAAACTCACCCCAAACCAGGAAGAAGGCAAGAGGTTGGCCAGGAAAAAGACTTGGGTCCGGAGTGGTGGGTCCCATCAGGGGGTCTTCCTCCACTTCCATCTGCAGTTCTTCAGCTGACCCAGCCGGGCCACGGCCCACGTCGCTTGGGGAAGGGCAGAGAGTTAGGATCATGGCAAGGCACACGCCCCAGAAAAGCCACACATGTCCAAGACAGACGCAGGGCATGGCCTCACCTGCAGGTTGCTCTCCAGTGATGTGGAGTGATTGCTGGGGGCAATGACAGGAAAGGTCCAAAGAAGCAACAGCCTGCGTTAAGGGCAGCCCCAAATCCAACACTGAGTGGGGAGCCCAGGACTCTGGGGGCCATGGCGGCGGCAAAGGCAGGCGGGGGCAACACCCACCAGGGCCTGATCACGAGGGGTCTCTGGTGCAGGACACATGTCTGTTCTCAGCCCTGAAGCCAGACCCACAGGAGGAGGCATTGGAGGATGCTTGGCAGGAGATGGAGACTCCAGAAGGGTCTTGTGGGGGCACTGGGAACCTGCTGGGAACAGGCAGCCGGAGAGGGAGTGGCTCCCGGGGCAGGGGGTGGGGGGTTGGTACTCAGACCGAGGAGGGCCAGGTGACCACAGGTATGGGCTTGGCAGAGGGAACAAGCCAGAGGGCTACACAACTAAAGCCCTGGAGCCCAGGGACTGAGGCAGAGAAGAGGAGGTGGGCCTGCAAGCGGAGTGCCCGGTGGGTAAGGAACCTGGCCACTGGAGAGCCAGCTGAGCCACCAGGGAGAGAAGCGACCAGATAGGCAAAGGCAGAGCCTGCAGACGCACCCTGGAGTTTTCCCCGCTGGTCCCCGGCATGGGATGCCGGCCTCTGCAGCTGTTAGAGGATCAAGGAGCTGGACCAACCCCCGGGGGAGGAAAGCATCACAGCAAGGGAAGGGTCGCAGTCACGACCGCACCTCGAGAGGGAGACCTGTGGCCAAAGCCCGGGGGCACACACTACCGCTGTTCCCATGCCCACTTTGGTCCTGAGATTCAGGGCCTGGGGTCCAGAACAGCTCAGCATCAGGAATGGGGCAGGGAAGGCCGAGAGAGACGATGGGCTGGCTCCCACCAGAGCAGAGCCCTGGGGATGGCTGAAATCTGCCCACACCCTCCAGCCTGCCCTCCACGGAGCCAGAGAACAGGCTGCTCCAGGTGCTGGGGCGACCCCCCGGCCTGCCCTCCTGGGATGCAGAGGCCATCAAGGGATGCGCTACGGTGGCAGGTGCCCAGGCCAGAGCCAGGGCTGTGGGCTTGCTCAGCTAGGATCGACTGTTGGATGACGGAATGGCCGCGCGAGTGAATGCAAGGACGCGACCATCAGGGCCCCCGTTCAAATGGGGCAGGGGTCGGAAGCTGCCCACACCCCTCTGGGAAACGAATCCACCCTGCACCCTTTTCACCTGGAACTCCTCGCATGGCCCACCTAGTGGCTCAGCTGTGGCGGTCGAGTCCTTTCATTCAGTCGCCTGGAGAAACCAACATCCCACATACTCTAACTGAGCCCCATTCTGTGCCAGGCTGGTGCTGGGACACCCTGAGGAGGTGTGGGGCTGTGGGGCTGGCCAAGGGCATCCTAGGAGGGCCAAGTCAGGAATTGGGGAGGGAGAGGAGGAGACACTGAGAGAGAGGACAGAGAAGGCAGCAGAAGCAGAAGAAGCTGTGGCTCTTAGAAGAATGGAGTGGGGACACTCCCTGGCCATGTGCCTCCTCTCCCATCTGTCTAAGCTGCATCTTCCCCGTTTCCAGGAGATAACTCTGATGGCTCAAGGGATGTTACCGGCCAAGCAGGCTCTGGGTCAGAGGACCAACAAGGGAAGCCAGCCAGGGCCCTGGACTGAAGAGTTGGGGCAGGGCTCCCTGTGCACATGTGACAGTGCTGCGTCCTCTCAAGGCACAGACCTGTCCCTGCTGGCTCTCGGGTGCCCCAGAAACAAGTAGCCAGGTTAAAGGTGCCGCCTCTACACTCAAGGGAGCACTGAGACCCCTCTGCCAGTGCCTCGGAAAAGTCCAGAGACCCAAGCAGGATGGGGATGTGGGGAGTTAACTTTCGAAAGTTTATTGGCTGAGCACTGTGGCTCACGCCTGTAATCCCAGCACTTTGGGGGGCCAAGGTGGGCAGATCACGAGGTCAAGAGATCGAGACCATCCTGGCCAACGTGGTGAAACCCCATCTCTACTAAAAATATAAAAATTAGCTGGGCGTGGTGGTGTATACCTGTAGCCTCAGCTACTAGGGAGGCTGAGGCAGGGGAATCGCTTGAAACCAGGAGGCGAAGGTTGCAGTGAGCTGAGATCGTGCCACTGCACTCCAGCCTGGCGACGGAGCGAGACTCTGTCTCAAAAAAATAAGAAGAACAAATAAAAAGAATGTTTGTTAGGGCTCCAGGAGGAGCTGCAGAGAACTGTGCAGGGCCAACTGATTTACTTCTTCTACAGCCTCCCCAGGCTCTCAAATGTCTGCAGGGCTGCCAGAGTGCAAACAGTGGCTTTGGGGCCTGTATTTGAGGGTGAGGAGAGTCCATGTATTCTTCATTACTATTGAAAGAAGTCTTCTCATCTAGAAACGCCAGGCGTGCTGTTTTTCTATTCTCCAACAGCTACATGGGAGGGGGCTGGGTTTTCATGTGACCTCAGCTTCAGAGGTCTACACCCCAGTCCACCCCTGGTCCCAACCTCCCCTAGACAGAGTGGGCAACTACATCACAGTCACTGCACAAGTCCCACCTTGGCAAGAGGGATGGAGGATGGCCTCAGGCTTTTGCTCCAACCGGCCAACGGGAGATCCTTTCACATTCTTTTTCGTGGGGTGCTAACAGTTGGTTTTGCTAACTTGGAAAAAGTATCCAATTCTAACCCACAATGCCAGAGAACCTTTAGCCAACAGATTCACTAAGGAAGGTCCCTTAAGGTTTCAATGAATAACATTTTCTTGCTTCAACTACCTCCCTTATCAACCTAGTTTTTTTCCATTTGGCTGAAGGTCCGACTGGAGCCTAAGGTTTAATTGGAGTGATCTAATCATGATTGATCTGCCCTGGGGTGAGAACATCCAGAGCTCGGGATAAATAAACGAATGATTCAGACTCGGGACATACCTGCTCTAAAGACATCAACGGGCTCTAGGGAGCTCAAAGATCAGAACAAAGAGGATGAGGGTTCAGGCAGGGCACAGGACATGTGGGTGAAGGGCGCAGGACACATGGGTGAAGGGCGCAGGACACGTGGGTGAGGGTAGTTAAGAGGCCAATCAGAACACAAGTTCTGACGCCAGATGTGAGTTTTAATCTCCTCTCTGCTGCTTGATCCTAAAAAATCACTAGCCCCCTGCGCCCAACTTCATCAGTACGCTGGAGTCAAATCTGAACCCCAAACTATGGTATCTTACGGGGGCCCTCTGGGATGCCAACATGCATTCACTTCTTCACCTGGCTGGGGCTTCCATGGGTATTTACCTTGTGGTCACTCCCCTAGGGCTACGCCTAGGAGTTAGTGCTTTCCTACCAGCGGTTAATCTTGAGTGAGTTTTGGGTGTCCTCTGTGGGTCCTGAGAGGACCCCCTCGTCCTCAGCTCTTGGAGAGTGAATGAATGCCCTGGCCAGTTGCATCTGCGCTAAGGATCTAACAAAGCAGCTTTCTACAATGCAACCCTATCCACAGCCCCTTTTCCCAAGCTGCTTGCCACTCTCAACCCCACTGAACGGACTTCGCTGGGACAGAGGCAAAGACTTAAATGAGGAGCAAAAGAAACGTCAGCTCGGGCACCAAAGTTAGACGTGTGGCTTAAAGAAGCCACATCGCCCCTGCCCGGCGATGGCCAGTTCACCTCATGATGATAATCGGTGTGTTTTTCCTTCGCAGACAAAGAAGGCTCCTTATGAGATGAATATTGGAATCCAGCAGCTAACCTCATTAACGTCTGCTGCCTCTTCCTTCGACAAGGCCCGAGATTAGCCTGTGTTCATTAAGGGAAAAGGGTGGAAAGTGGAATAAAACTGAAAAACACCGCCGGGGTAAGGGGGAGGGGAGGCCCTTTCCTGTTAGCCATTCATTCACTGAAATACTCCGTGTACCTTCGGGGGAGTTAATCACCAGCCAAGGGGACGGTGGGGAGGGGGCAGGGTTTACCAGGATGTGAGAGGTAAAGAGGTTAAACTCGATGGAAGAAGTTAAAAAACCAAAATAGGGTGATTTGATGTGAAAGCTTCCTGGGATTTGTCATTGGGATAATCAATTTAAAACCTTCTTCCTGTTTGCTTTCTTTTAGCCCAACCTAACGTAAGGGGAAACCGCCTTTGGATGTGTTTTTGGTGGCTTTTAATATTTTTAAGTCTCCTTTTCTGATTTGTTTTGTCTTTAATCCTTTGTTTCTCTTCTCCTGCCTGTCCTGCACGCCCCTCAACCCCTTTCCACTTCTTTCTTCTTTCTCTGGTCCTCTCGTGGGAATTCAATGTATACAAAAATCTAGTGAAGCCTCCAGTGGTGTTTTCTCATGAATGCTTTATTGACTTTGCCTCAAAGTCCTTCAAACAGCACCTGGCGCTTACCTGGGAGACATCCCACCTGACCTGCCAGATAAAGATGATTAACCCTATTTTGAAACGGAGATAAGCCTGGCTTGGAAAAGTTTACCTACTGCAAGGTCTCAGCACGGAGCAGTTTAACTAGGACTCGAACCCAGGTCAGCGACTCCTGACTCTGGAACCTGCTTCTTACCATGCCGTCTACGCCCCATATGGGGCCAGTCCGAGGGACTGAGCTCCCGCATGAGGGAGTCGTGGGTATACAAGTTCCTAGGGGTGCAAAGAACGAGAGGAGGAGGAGCAGGTGTCTCTGCGAAGGGGAGTGTCAGTGCACAGAAGTGAACCGGAGCCGCAGACATGTGAGAGAAGGAATGGAAACACGTCCTTGTGGCCATGAGTGGCAAACGTGCTGAGGGTTAAGCTACAGAAAAGTCTTTACCTTGGCGAGAGCCCTTCCACGGAGTAGAGCGAGTCAGGAAGCAGTGGGCTGAAGAGGAAATGGAGGTGAGGAGGGAAGACAGCGAGTGTAGACAGGCCTTTCAAGCAGCTTAGCTGTGAAACGAAAGACAGAGGCTGTAGCGGCTAGAAAAGACGACAGCAGGGACCTGGGAGGCTCCAGGCTGCCGGCAGAGCGAAGTCAGAAATGCAGAGGGAGGCCTCTGGAGGAGGCCGGGGCTGACGCAGGTACAATGCTGCCTCTGGAACTCAGGCAATGGGGGCTCCACGGGCCAGTGAGGACGCCTAACCTGCAAGCGCTTGACAGCCTCCGTTTCCCTGGGAGTGGCAGGCCGGCCCTGGCTCAGGACAGGGAGTTGTGAGGATCAAATGAAGGGACGCTTGCAAACAGTGACCAAAACATTCCCTGCCATTGCTCACTGGAGAGCACTCTCGATCTTACAGCCCACTCGAATCTCACTGGGGCCTGGATTTTCACCGACCATAAATTATTTGTCCTGAACATTTAAGCATGTTTTTAACATTTTAACCACTGGTAAAAGCTCCTGCCAGTCTCTGGAAGACAAAGGTCCCCTCCTAATAGCCTGGATTAACTCAAAGCAGGTCTCCGCCCACCTCATTTGTCACCGTCCAAGTCATCCTCGCACCTCCATTTGCCACATAATCCAATCAGCGCCTTTCAGAGGCCGGGCAGCCATTGTCCGCAGCGAGCGGGACTTCTCTAAAGCAGCCCACGTTGTTTTTGTCTTGTCCAGACAAAACTAGTCAGCTTAAAAGGGGACCAAAGAAAGTGCTGGTCAAACCAGGACCCCAATTAGGTTCCAAGAGACCGTTTTCATGATCTTTGCATCAGACGTCTAGCCTGGTGCACTGCGCATATTGTCGGTGCTCCAGAAAATGTTTGTTGAATTAATTCGTTTTTAGTTATTCTGGAATTTCTGAACGAACACAAGCATACGTAGCACCTACTGGGTGCTGTTCTCACTAAGGGAGAATAGGCCTGGGCATGGGAGCGAGGAGGGACAGCCTCAGGCGTTTAAGTACCTTGCAATTTCCACAGCAATTTACAAAGCACTTTCGTAGTACTTACAGCATTTGGTCTTCAAAAGCGCCCTGCAGGGTAGATACACGAGGGGGTATGTGGCGGGGGGGTTGGGGGGGGTGCGTGGTGGGAGGTGTGTGTGTGCGGGGGTGTGTTTTCATCTGCATTTAGACCATGAAAGAACCTGAAACTTAGAGAAGTTAAGTGACTTGTTTAAGGTCACACCATTATTAAAAGGTGAAGCCAATGCATGGTACCAGCACTGGGGCCACCCAGACCCCCAAGACCACCCCAGGCAGCTGGGATTTCAAACAGACTGTCCCGTTTTCAAACGTTTGGTTTGAAACAAAAAGACTCTGAGTATAACTCTGGGACAGAGAGGAAGAGGGGGTGAGGGCAGCGACCATGGCACCCTGGGTCCAACTCGAACCCCTTCTCTGGCCAGCAATGTGACCAAATACTTACACCTCCCCCAAGTTCCAGTTTCTTTAATGTAAATGTAAGTCCTCACAGGTCCTCTTTCCCTTTCAGCTTTTTTAAATTACACAAATCAATACTACCAAATGCATTGTCACCTGGAAATTAGGCTGACTCATTTACATACACATAGTACATAAAAACCACATGTTCGTGTCACATAGAAAGTGCTCTGGAAATGGCCACATGCGAAATTCGTGTTCTTACTCAAGTCAGCCCGTCGGTGGTCTCTGCAAGCCCCTACCTGATGCAAGGAGAGCCCCGTGGACAAGGGCTGCCTGCAGTGCTGTGGGAGAATAAATAGGATGAGTAAGACACGCAAAAGGGGTGCGAAGGGACTGACCTGACAAACCTTTTCAACAAACATTTGCTGATCACCTCCTCTATGCCAGATCCTGCCTGAGCCCAATTTAATCTCATTTAATTCTCACAACAACCCTAGGAGGTTGCTCCCATCAACCCCATTCCCCAGAAAAGGACAGGAAAGATCTCCAGAGAGGTGTGGCATGCCTTTGGTGATTCAGTAGCATGCTCATTCCAGAAGCCCACCCAGGGCCTTGGAGTTGCCAGCAGGATGCTGGTCAAGCCCTCGGCCCAGGTCCCCCTCCTGAGAAGTTCCCAAAGGGATCCTTCCATTTAGGACATCATAAGGGTGATGACAGACAGTCCAGAAAGACTGACGACCCCTTGGGGAGGGAAACACTCCAGTTTGCTAGCAGGTGAACACAAGCAAAGATGTATAGGAAAGAACTCATAGAGTCAAAGCATGAACATAGCAAAGGTCAGGGCTTAACACCCAATGCCCCCTCACTAGGGCATTGGTTTAAGTCTTTAGGCAAGAGGGACAGCAGGCTGGTCAGTTCTGGTCCTCTTCATCCTTTGCCATCCTGGTCCTGGGAGTCTGTCAGTGGCTGCTGTGCATGCTGGTGGGATCCGGGAATCCGTGCTCCTAGTGCCCTCTGCAATTAATCAAAGGTTAGAGAACCTGCTTAAAAAGTCGAGGCCTAGGTCATAATTACAATTTAAGTTACTTAATTATAATTAAAGCTGATTAAAGTTTAAAATTGTCTTTTAACTGCTAGTGGGTCTGGGGTTGGTGCAAGGACGGTGGTGGGGTTGGGAGATTCTCCCCACCATGTTGGATATGAAATGATTGCTGGAGGGCTGAGGCACCGTGAGGTGTAGATGGGCAGCAGGCCCCTTGGCAGCAGCTCGGCATGGAGAGTTGGTGGTCCTTGAAGACAAGGAGGTGGATGGATGATGTCATCCCTGAGGAGAGACCCTATGGCACGGGAGGGGGGCAAGTTAGAAACCATCTTTATGACTTTTAACGGCCAGCACCGGAACAGCAGACAGCAGGAGGGGGCAGGCAGAGAGGAGTGGCAAAGGGGAGGAGTGAGCAAGGCGGCAGGGAGGGGCTGGGAGGGAAGAGGAAGGGGTATGTAGGGAGGAGGGAGAGGAGGCCAGGGAGGGGGAGTGGAGGGGAGGGGAGGGGAAAAGAGAGATAAGAAAAATGAGGGGGAAAGGGGGAGGAAGGAAGAGGAACGATGAAAGAGGGAGGAGGGAGGAGAAAAATAGGAGGGGGAGGAGGGACGGGAAATGAGAAAGGGTGGAGGGAGAGGAGAAATGGGAGGGGGAGGAGAGGAGTGGGAGGGGGTAATGATAATTTGATTGACAGGTCACAAGTGTTAGCTGTGTGCGCGTGCGCAACTGAAAGCCCAGGGTAGCGGGGCAAGCATGGACCGCTAGGGGGCGCGCGGCCCTCACCCTGAACCCAGGAGCACAGCCACCTGCGGCGCCCCAGCCTGCGCCCAGCGGGCCTGGAAGGGCAGGGGGCGCCCAACAGGTCTCAGGCGAGGAAGGGCTGCACAGCCCACCCCAGACCCCTACGCCAGGCCCCTACACCCCCTCGACGCCTCTCCAGCCACCACCAGCCAGAGCCCACCTGTGGCCACCCAGCACCTCCCGCCCGCACCAGGGGCCTCTTGCACCCGCAGCCACCGGGACCCCCGCCCCAGAGGAACGTGGGCCACCCAGCGAACCCGTGCCAGGCCCCTCCAGAGCGCTGCTTTGCCTGCGACAAGGAAACAGAAATATCAGCTCCCACCTTCGGCAATCCAATTAAACACACGTTCACTAAAGTCAAAAAGACCTAGTCCTCCAGACACCGCTGTCACTCATGTGGGTGGTCTCAGGACGAGAGACAGAACCTATGACATCGCTAGAAAGTAACGCAAAGGGGGCCACCCCGCCGGCCCCCCGCCTTCGCCCCCAGGCGTCGACATCGCGCCCCCAAAGTCGTGCCTCCCTCCTTCGCCACAAGCAACAATTTCTAGACCCCATGCGATGGCACCTCACTGACCCGGTCGCAGCCTCTCTCTCCATCCTGCTCAAATGAGCCGCACCTTCCTAAGACCCCCGAAACCAAAAACCACTGGAAATCAACTAACGTGCGTCCGCGCGCCTCCAAGACACCCGAAGCCACGGCGCCAGGGCCGACCCCGGCCTCTGTGGCCGCTCCGAAGTGAACCCGGGGGCCTCGAAACTGTTCCCCCTTGGGTAAATGAGTCCAGGATCCTCCAGTGGATCCCGCGCCCGACCCCCTCCAGCAGGAGAACAAAGGCCACCTCCCCTCCCCACCCCGCCCCCCAAAATTCCGCAGTGACGCCAGCGCCCTCTCGCGGCCAGCCAGGAAACCTTCCAGAAACCTGCCACGTAGCCACCCGCCTGCGCCCCCACCAGGCCCGCCGGCCCAGGGTGGGAGGGGGCGTCCTGGGGGGCCTTGACAGGGACAAAGGAAACGGCAAAAGGCGACTTGACCAAAGGTCCAAGCCTGCAACACGTCAGGATTTTCGAGAGACCACCACGCAAGTCTGAAAAGACCCCCGCGGCCCTTCCTCCCCAGCTCCCCGCGTCCATACCCCAGCAACACACCCCCTTTTCTCTCCTCCCTCTTCTCAGACCCAAGGACACGGCCGTCTCTCCACCCCAACTCGCCCCCTGCATCTATTCTGCCTGTGCCCCCCAATCCCTCGCCCCCCTTGAGCAGGGACTGATCCTAGGGGGCTCCTGGCAGGTTTGCGCTTGGGCGCCATCTCTCTCCACTATGAAAGTGGCTGCTCAGGGCAGAACCAGATGATAATATCGGGTAGAAATTTTACTCTACATTTTGCCTGGAGTCCACTCTGCACTAAACCTGTGTATTTGGATTTGGAATCCCTCGCCGAGAGGAACCTCCACTCCTCCCGCCCACGATCCACCAAAACCCTGGCCAACAACTGGCCAGGCAAATCCGCCCGGGAGACCCTTCCATTCGGGTGCTCCCCCCTAATTCATGGGGCATGTAGAAGGCTTCGCCGCCATATCTCCCACTATTAACGCAACTCTAGAGGCGCTCCCAATACAGTAAATCCGGGGTTCACCCCCCAGTGACTGACATACACCGAATCCAAGAGGGGTTACATCCGATTCCTCCCGCTCCTCTGAACTGAAGTCCCTACCACCCAGCCCGCCCTCAAGGTCTGGACCCTCTCGAGAGGAGCCCTGACTTCCCCACAGGAATATGTGCCTCGAGATTTTCCTTCTGACAAATTTCGTTGGGGACGCTTGGGCACCAGACGAAGTGGCCGCCTCCAGCAGCAGGACCGGGATCGGGCTCTCGGCCTGTCCAGGAGGACAGAGTCCACCCCAGAGGGGGATGCAGGCTTCCTTCTGCACGTCCTTCGCGGCAAGGATAGCCAACCACTCACCAGGTGAGGGATCCTCGCGTGGGCGCCCCAGCTCTCCCGAGGAGCCGCAGCCAAGGCCAGCGAGCCAAGGCGCGCTCCTTCTCCGCTCTCCGCCGTCTGCGCTAGGGGCTGGCTGGGTGGGGTTTATATGGAGGCGCAGAAGGGGTGGTCTCTGACGTCAGCGCATTCTGCTGCAATGCGCTCATTTCTCTAAAAGTGATTGGCCGGAAAAATGAGCCCCCCAGATTCTATGACAAATTGCTCCAGCCGCACCCAGATTGCAGCAAAGAAGGGAGGAAAAAAATCTGCCGCAGTGCCCCTGGCCGCCATGACCAACACCCTGTGGTCGCGGGTGCTTTTTCCCTGCGTGATCCCGGCTGGCCAGGCAGGGTGAATTCGTGCACAATGTGTGTGGAGAATAGCCCCGAGGGTTGGCCGTCCTCCCGCGGCCGAGGGCCAAGGTGGGGCTGTCGGGGCGCAGATTCCACACCTGGCGGTTTCGGAACATCCGTCAGAGGATGCGGGCTTAGCGAAAGAAAACGATGCTTTCTCTTACTGTTCAGGAAAATAAAATGCCCAGGGGACATAACTAGTTCCCAGATGTAAGCCGGAGGCTGTCACCCCCTCCCTGCCCACCCGCGTGTTTCTGACCGTTCTCTTTGAGACAAGAGAGACAGAGCTCCGAGTCTCCGAGTCAGAAAACCTGGCTTTGAGTCCCAGGCTCCGGCGCTTACAACTCGCGTCCGCGGAACCCGTTATCCCCTTTCCTCTTCCAGGGGTTCTGTTCCTTCCACTTTAACGAGGGGTACCCCCACACACACACCAGGGTTGTGATAAGAATCCGGGCAGGAGCCGTGCCCTCTAAGGAAAGTACTTTTAGAGGACGGACTGTGTCCCATGTGCACTACCCCTCAAAGTTGGGGTGATCCCCCCACTCATGCCCTTGGAAAGAGCCCCACCGCCACCACCGCCCCGGAAAGCAGGCAGCGACACATGTTGCGCCGAGCCCCGCCGCGGTCTCGGGCTCCGGGGCTGGTACATGAGCGTTAATCCCTAACAGGTGGGAGCCCTCGGCAGCTCTGCCCGGCTCTGAGTGCCAGAGCGTGCACGGCCGTCAATCAGATGTCCTCTCGCAAAGGTCAAAATGCTGTTGAAAGGGACCGAGGATCTATCTTAGGGTGACAGGTGGGTGGCAGCCGGGAGGACAAGGATGGAGTGCCCGGTAGCAGAAAGCGGGTAAGGATGAGCAAGGGGCCCCAGAGAGGACAGCCGAGAGGCCCCCCACCGAGGGCATCAAGTCCGAACCGCTCCCCCGCACTTCTTTAGGGAGTTTAAGCGGCCTCAGAGGGAGCCCCCCCATGCCCAGCGGTCCCACGAGGTGACTGTAAATCAGACGGGAGATTCTAGGGCTGAAAGGAAGGGAGAAGGGCTATTTCTATGTCCACGGCTGAGGACTACGGAGGTGAACATTGACCGTCAGGTCTCTAGAGAGCCTTGGGAGGGCGTGCGGGGGCCTAGATTTTGCATCAACAGGCGCGCTGTTGGGGAGCTGGAGACGTGGGACGTTGGGGGCCTCGTGGGGTGCTGCTTTAATATGTCAGGTAACGCGAGGGAGAAAGAAAACACCCCCTATACAGCCTGTGGAGCTTGCCAGGAGCCCCAGGGACCACAGCCCCGGAAGCAGGCCTTGCACAGCAGAAACGCCCGCACCAGACACAGACGTCAAGAACGCTTCGAAAAATCATGGCTCCGAGCACCCGCGTCAACAGGAGAACGTTTATTAGCCACGGTATTAATAGCTAGGAAACAGCCGGAGCGGGCCGGGGCCAATCAGCAACGAGGAGCCCCTGTCGTCAGGCCCCCGCGGCCAATCAGACGCCGGGAGGCCCAGTTGCTAGCCTCTCGGGGGCAGAGGCGAGGGGCGCGCATTGTCATGGGGCTCGTCGTTCAGCCCTCCGTGCGTGGGAACGGTGGTGGCCGCCAGAGAGCATCCGCTGCCACGCACCCGGGGGCCCGGGAGGCTGTCTTAGAGACAGTGCCAGCTCGCGTCAGCCCTGCAGCCCCAAGAGGATGCGAGTTGACATTCTGGTGGGAGCCCCAGGCCTCTTTGGGGTGCTCCTGGAGTCCCTGAGATGGAGAAGTTCCAGACACCCAATGTCCAGCCTCTCCCCTCGAGGGCTGCGGCCCCTGCAGGAAGTTGGGCCTCCCAGTGGGAAGCCAGCTTTTCTGGGCTCCCTGGCTCTGAAGTCTGCTACTTCGAGGTTCACAGTAAACCCCACTCTTCTATTTCAGGGCCTTACTGACAGGCCAAGGAAAAAGACCCTGGAAATTATGGGTTTTCTACAAAGCACCGCGGGTTTGAATCCCGGCTCTGCTCCCTCTGCGCTGGAAGGCTGAGGTCCAGGCCCTCCCCCTCTCTGGGCCCCCTACTTCCTCATCTGGAAAAAGGAAAGACTTGGACAAGATGGTCCCCAAGGAGCCTTCCAGTCCTCCTTTGCTTGATTTGAATGTATACATCAGGCGAGTCAAATGTCTTCCAGATCATTCTGCATGACAGTAATTAGTATCAGGTGTATCCTGCAGTCCATGTGGTTACTTCATCATGCTGTTTTTCTTTCCATTGTATTTTATTTTAAACAGAACTCCATAGCAACATGTTTACCCTTCTGGTTTCCAGAAAGAAAAGAAAAGAAAGAGAAAAAGAGGCGGAGAGAGAGAAAGAGAGAGAAAAAGAAAGAAAGGAGAGATGGAGGTGGTAAGGCAAAGAGGAAGAAAAGATTGCTGCAAACTAATCTCCACTGAACATGGTTTAACCGCAATTCAAAAAAAAAAAAAAAAATCCATATGTTTAAACGTTTTTGTTGGCTTTTCTGGAGCTCAGAACCTAACTTTTTAAATATTTATTGGTCCAAAGCAATGGAAGAAATTCCTGAAGGAGCCAAACCTATGGTAATGTTTGGATCTGAACTGTTTCTCAATCTGAACAATGCTATACATGCTTTCTTGCTCAAAAAGGCCATTCAAGGGCTCAGATTTGTATCTATAGGGGAAAACAGACAAGGAAATCCAGGTTTGAGAAATGGAGCACTTTCTCTCTGTGCATGCTGAAACCCAACTCTCCTGAAATCCTGGAGGGGAGCCAGTGTCCCAGACACATGGCTTAGCTTGCTGCTTTTTTTTTTTTTTCACATAGATCTAATTCAAAGCACACATTTTTCTTTTTTTAATTCATATTTGGGAAGCCTCAAAAGCCATGTGAGCAGCCTCCTATCCACATGTACATACTTATGGGCAAGGGGACAAACCTCCTAAGAGCCAGCCGGAAAATGAAGACAAGGTCCTCCTATACCCATCTCCCAGGCATGTGTAAATGCGCTCTCTTCTCAAAAATCATACTGCGAACTTTCACAAACAGCAAACCCCAAGCGCCTCCCCCTCCAAGCCGACTCCCTGGTTTTCCATGTACCCCTGAAATTTAGCATGAACCAGAACTCTCTTGAGTCCCTCTCCCTCACTCTCCCGGGGGGCTGCAGTGATAGGGAGCCTGCTTCAGCTACCTCGTATGTAAGGTGCCACTGCAGTCCCAGTCTCTACTTCTAGTGCCAGCTTCTAGCCATTCAAACCCCTGAACATCACTGAACTCCCTCCCCCTCCCATTCTGCCATAGACCACAGCTCAAGTCAGAGAAGCAGTAGAGCACATGGGGGGTCTTCCATGGGGCTGTTGTTTTTTCTTGTGGGACAAGGGGAAGCTTGTCATGGTCCAGTACAACCTCTACCTCCCATAAGAGGTGAGACTTGGCCGGGCGCGGTGGCTCAAGCCTGTAATCCCAGCACTTTGGGAGGCCGAGGCAGGTGGGTCATGAGGTCAAGAGGTCGAGACCATCCTGGTCAACATGGTGAAACCCCGTCTCTACTAAAAATACAACATTAGCTGGGCATGGTGGCGCGTGCCTGTAATCCCAGCTACTCAGAAGGTTGAGGCAGGAGAATTGCCTGAACCCAGGAGGCGGAGGTTGTGGTGAGCCGAGATCGCGCCATTGCACTCCAGCCTGGGTAACAAGAGCGAAACTCCGTCTCAAAAAAAAAGAAAAAAGAGGTAAGAATTGGCATCAGGTAGCCAAGGATTTGGAGGAAGTGATCAAAGACACACCGGGCCTATCTTCTGGGATCTTGAAATTGACAGCGGCTCGTCCAGAAACCATACCAATCCCAGCTCCCAGTGCCGGGAACACTCTGCTCCCCTTAAAATCAGAGTTCTGGGCACAGCCCTGGCCTTGCATAGAAGAGTTTGCCAAATTGTAGATGCAAAAAGACAAATAAAGTTCAACGCCTTTCACAGAAGGCCAAGGATGAACTTTAATTCCAGATGGACCTCTGGGCTTCAAGGCAGCGCATCTGTGTGTTTGAACTAGCTGGACTTCCACCCGTTCCCCACTGACCAACTGTAACCCAAGAGGAAATGCTCAACAGCAGAGTTGCCCTTTTCCTCATCGGCCTCTGGAGGAGTGTGGTATGAGGACAGGCAGGGGACGTTGCATTTTGGGACTACTTTTCAACTAGTGTCAAGGAAAAAGAGCTGGAGAGTAATACCCCAAATGGTACCATTAGTTGTGCTAAATGAATACATTCTGAGTGATTTTTCTTCTTTTCTACATTTACAAATTTCTCTACTGCCACGTATTCCTCGTGTGTGTGTGTGTGTGTGTGTGTGTGTGTGTGTGTGTGTCTGTGTGTTTTAAAGCTGCAGTCCAAAGCCAGGCATAGTGGCATATGCCTATACTCCTAGCTACTCAGGAGGCTGAAGCAGACAGAATCACCTGAGCCTACGAGTTCAAGGCCAGTCTGGGCAACATAATGAGATCCAACTGTAAAAAAAAAATGGTTTTAATGTATCAGTACAAGAAGAGTGACCCTTTTAGCCTCTTCTTTATTGACCTCTATTTAAAAATCTTCTAGTAAGTAAATAAAAATCAAGAGACCCAGGATTCATGTCCTGCATAGAATAAGGCCCAGTTCCTGGACAGAGGCATTCATACATGGGTGGTAGGTGTGGGGTGGGCACGGGGGTGGGTGCCAGGGGCAGCCACCTAGCTGCGTCCAATTCCTGGAAGGACTCTCCTGAATCTGCCCCAGAGGTGAACAAATTCCAAGCTGGTAAGAGCAAAAAAGTGCACCTCAGTGGTTTCATTCCTACTGGAGGGACCTGAAGAAATCCATTTACGAGAAGACAAAGCAGGCCAAGAACAGGGTCTTGGTGAAGCAGACCACTGCCGTGGGTTGGATTGTAGAAGTCACATCTTGACACTAGAGAAAGATAGCCACATTGCCCCACCCCACCCCCACGCGGGGCCCCCTGGCTTTGGGTGTGGGCCAGCCCCAGATTCAAGCAAGGGGTTTTCTTGGCCCAACTCCATGGAAATATTTCCTTCGGTGGAGCAAAGAACTGCTTCATTCAACTGCCTGCGGCTAGGGAGGGGGTGGCTTTCGCTGTGTTGACAGAGAACTGGAGAGGCCTGCGGAGGGGCCCCAGAGGAGAAAATGTGTTCCAGGTAGAACAGGACTGGAAAGTTGGCTCTTTTTTCCTTTTCTTTTTTTTTTTTAC